CATTTGTAAACAATATTTTTGTCGTATTATCTAAAAATAGCTAAACTAAAAACAGTTTTACAAAGCATTTATACAGAGATGCGATATATGCCGTTTTCACTCAGCCTTTTTAAATTATATTATTTTATAAAGAAACTTTAATGTGTGTGTAAATTTCTATCCAGAAGAATATTTTATATTAAAAAAATAAAATTCCAAGGATTGAACTAACGAACAATTCTGCGTTTTCTATAAAGAGATTCTGCATATACATTTCGCTTGAATATTATATATAATACGTTGAAAGTATCATTTTCATCAATATTCATCACTGCCACGCAAAGCTGCAGGAGAGTGCGACGAAATAATTTAATAAACTTTCCGCGAATGAGAAACACATGTCACGCATTTCCATATATTCGACAGTGCAGATCCCTTGTCGCGCGTCAAAATTTTGCAGTGAAATATTCTCGACATTCCGCACGCACATATATACCGAAAACAGTGTCGAACACAGCGCGAGGGTAGAGATATCTAGTGCGATCGCGGGATCGGAGAGCAACAAGGGTGATTCGATCCCGTTGCATTATCGTATGCGAAACGCACTCGACGGTTTAGGCCCCGTGCGAGCTGACGTTTTAATATCACGTTTGCACTTTCCGTCACAATCATCATCTCACTCCCTGCCCGTCGAGCCGCCATCACCTTTGCAGCCACCGGAGCACGAATTCCCTTCGAAGCGACCTGAATTTTTCATCGCCCTGTCGTTCCCGTGATTAAAAGGGGGTCATCCGCCTTGCACGAAAGTCCCCTTTCGCTGCGCTTTTGAGGTATTGTCGCGACAGCGGCATCAGCCCCTCCATTAACTTCGATTCTCATCTGAGCAAGTATTAAACAACAGAGGAAGAGAACCGATAAAGTGCACGATTCCATAAAGTATACCGCCTCGCTTTCTTTCCCAAGCTTTTTCCAAGCTGTGTTTAGGAACACGTCCATTTTGTTGTGTGACTACTGGGTGAACGGCCGAGTTCAACAAAGAGTTGACACATAAAATAAAAGACAGTATAGATATTGTGTCAACTTTGACCCCGATATCGAGCACATGCTTGAAGGTTTACTGAAATTGATGTAGCATTTATTTTGATACTTACTTTTATTTAAAATTTTAAAAGAATATTTTATATATTTTGTAATATAAAATGTAGTGTTTTGAAATTTGCAATAATATGATTTTATCTTGTATCAATTTATTACTCTTTTTTAAATAAAAATTCATGAAACGTTGGTTTGTGATGATAAATTTTCACGGTCGATGTTATCAACTAATCGATATATTTAAGTTGTTTGAATTTATCAGACTTCCATTATTGATTTTTTCCGAAATATAATTATTTCTAAACATGATAAATTTCTTTGATCACATATTAGTAATTATTTGGACAAAATTATTTTGCTTATAAGTTTCATTAACACGCATCACATGTGTAGAACATTTCGATTTTTGTGATAATATTTTGTGATAAAATTTTATATATAATAGTAGAATAAATTCTCAAAAGATAGTCACAAACGGTGAGAGCAAACGTGTTAAGTGATATCCTTTACCAAATCTGAAAACGATAAAAGGCGTACCGCGTATCTAATGTATACACTCCAGATGGCACATAAGATTTATCTATGTATGTCGACATGTATATGCGCTTGGATCTCGGATGGAACCTTTGTGATTAAGCAAGGAAGAAGCGTTCGATATGTTGCACATAGGACATCCTTTGATCAACCAACGATATATCTTATATGTACATTTGCGAGGAAACTCTCTCTCCAGCGGTTCCCTTTTCGCTCTCAAAGCTTTCTTTTACGAACGAAAGAAATTGTTTGTGACAGACACAAAACCTTTGTTAAATAATTGCGTATATAAGTCTGATACCGAATATGTGGTGTGTGAAAAAAAATTTTTCCTAACAATTTGAGATCTAATGTATTCATCATTTTATCTGCTTTAAATATTCATTTCTTGTTAGATTAATTTCTACTTGAGATATTCAAAAAGCACTTTAGAGTCTGGCAAACTGATTTTTGAAAATTGATAACGACAAGCCTATATAAATTATATGAATGTAAATTACACAAACAAACACGAGTATATCGTTATATGGAAGAAACCTATTTTGCTTGTATTCAATATCCTTGTATTTGTACATCAAATTCCCACGAAGTAGTTATCTTGAGAGATTGCGGGCGTATTTGAATGCAATCGCGTGCTCAAAATATATCGCATTATCTTTGTCCGTCTAGCAGTCTCGGAAGTTGCGTTACAAGATATGTAAATTGTTGCGATATTAGTTTGAAGATAAGGGGAATATGGTAACGGGAAATGTCAGGACTGCAATCACAGCGAGAAGCAAGTTTTGGCTATCTGCGGAGTTCAACGATCGATAAGACACGAGCGTCCTTAAACAAGCTGCCTCGGCACATGCGGCTCCGTCTTTCTTCCCTACCCTTTCGCGCGATCCTTTTCACCCTTCGTATTTGCTGTCAGTCAAGGATGCCTCCGCCGACACTCAATCTCGCTACTCTGTTCCGCGAGAATCGGACGGCTGGCATAAACGTATTTCGAAAGAGCAGATTTAAATATCCTCTTTCCTGTCTCTTCAGGAACGGAATGAAATCAGCTCTCATCTTTCGAAAGAACCAATGAGAATTGACGCGCGCGATTTTGAATGGAATGGATGGCAAATGGAAAGACATGATTCGAAAAGAGCTTGCGATCGTAAAATATTACATTTTATATTTTAAAATAGTTATATGTAATTGTATGTGTATAAATATATGAACTAATTTATGTGTATATACATATATATTATATAAAGTAAAAAATTACTAGAAAAGAATACAACGGCCTTGCTAAAATAGCTTTTGTCTAATTGAAATTTAATTTGTTTATTTAAAAGTTATGTAAAAGTACTCGAGTATATTAATTATAAAATGGTCTGGCGAAAAATATATAAATATATTAAAATATTTTGAAAAAAAGGAAACAATTAAGTTAATTAGGTCAGAATAATCTCTCCGAATATAAAAAAATTAAAAAATAATTATATGTACGTGAATTACTTAAATTTCGATTTCAACTACTACACATACATATATGTATGAGGTTCATATATGGGTAGATATAGTTCTGAAAATGAAAATAATAATTGCTTGGCGGGGTTTTATTGCTTCTCTTGAATGGTCACTTCTTCCGCTACACTTGCTTTCACCATTTTTTATCCACTGACTTCTCTAGCTAACGCGGTTTGCTATTTTTTTATATTTATTGATCGATCGGCTTTGGAATGCGACGCTCGCTTTGGCCGCCGTAAAATCCCATCGAAAACCCATTGAAAATGTGGATTGAACGACCAGTCCGGTGGTCGAGCATGGAAAATATTACGAGAAAAAAAAAAGAATATCCATATCCTGCCATCACATCGCATCATGGGTGAATTGTGGGACGAGATAGGCACGTTTAATCGAGTCGAAAAATATTTTCGTGAGAGTGATAATCGTAAAATCCGATCATTTCATCATAGAGAAATGACGAGCTTTATTTTGACATAAACTCTACCAATATTTTTCGATTAAATTTAAGTGAAATGTAATTTTCTCTCTCTAGTTTTCTTATATGATTGTTTTTAAGGAAAACAGACACGAAAAAATGTAATAAAATGTTCATAAATGTGTACGGAATTTATGAAAATGTGTGCATTTTTTCGAGATAATCCAAGATATTTCAAGAATATTAAAAAGACTATTTGAGAAACTTAGAACAAAAAAGTATAACGTATTATTGAAAAACTTTTATATTTATCTCTACATTTTAATTTTTATCTTTACATATTTTACACCTAGGAATATCTTTCTTATTTCCTTTCTTTTTGTAAATAATTATTAATTTTTATTTATTTAATATTTAATATAATTGTACACATTTACAGAGTAAACATCGCCTCAGTAACATGCGACACCTAGATCAGCTCTGATCAAGCTTCCAGATCTCTGGGAAGGCTGTTGCCGATGATGTAGAAAATGTTTCTTATCGACAATCAGCTGTTATCGTAGATAAAACAGTTTATTTTACATTTGAAGCAATTTCGCATATGCATGCATACATACATACTGAATTGATAGAAGCGTAATATATCTTCTTTTATAAAAGTATGATCTTCTCTGCAAAATTTACGTTATATCATGAAAATGCAGAAGTACACCTGGAACATGCACGATAAAAGCAACGCGCATTAAAAACATGATTTACGAAGATTACTCATCATTCATTGTTTGTTTCGATTTTTCATGAATAACATGAGTCAACATCACTTATTCATGAATTGCGAAACTCATTTCTCACTCCTCTCTGCCATTGTCGACAGATTTTCATCCAATTTGGGATGTAATTTTCGCGTCTATTAATTTCTCATTACAACAGATAACGCGTTAAATAATCGCAAGTTAACGAGGTGTGTGAACGCACGCACGCATCAACGGCATAAATTGCGAGAAGCGCAGTACCTATCAGCTGCATCTGCGGAACGGTAGCGGAGCACTCTCGCCGGCGCGGGCGCGCGCGCAGCTTTCGTGCGGGTTCCCGCGAGTCCAAAGATCCGAGCCAGTACCCGGTACTCGAGGACGACTAGTGGAATTTCCTTCCTTTTTCCTTTCTCGTTGTGTCCTGTGCGCGTCGATGGTATCGCGCATCCAGTCTCGCAGATGCGTGCACGCACGTGGTTTGCCACCCACGCGAAGGGCCGTAATGCCAATTAAATCGGTCGGCGAAAGAGCTTATCTTCAAGCTGGCTTGATCTACGGCGCTCATTGACTTCCGACTCTTCTCGATTTTTTTCTTTTTTTATTTACTGTGCGTTATCGATTTTTCTGCTGAACCCCCATATAGAAAAATGCGCTTTCTCTGAAAATTTCTTCTTATTGTTGTTTTGATAAATAATATATAGTGCGATCCACTATAAACGCTTCAAACGCTTCAGAGCATTATTTTGTCCTCGTTTAACATTTGATAAACAACAAAGATGAAATGTTTCCAAGAGCGTTTGCAGTTTGCAGCGCCAAGTAAATCGCACCCATAATATGTTTGTTTCTTGGAAAACTTCACAAATTAAAAAAAAAAATTTTTTCTTATTCTCAGAACTTTTTATTAGTTATTTATTTGTATATTTGTCTTATCAATATAAGGTACTAATTGATCTTGTAAGAATATTATAGCTGTTGCTTGCTGTGAAGTTATTTAGAAGATAGGAAACGCATCGTAGAGATAAAATTCTCATTGTCAAAACTCGAGATATGAAGTAAAAATATTTAGTTACGCATGATTGCACAAAGTGTCAGTGACATGGTAATAAAAAAATCAGAGATCGAGAAAGTAGCTGATCAAAATGACGTATTTACTGTTGTCTGATTGCGTGAACAGTTTTATGTTTGTATTATTGAATATTCATCCGCTCAATTTCGATAGGCCTTCTTCTGGGACATTCGTGCATATTCAACGAAAGGGAAATCGTCAGTGATATTTAGGGAACACGTCGGTGATATTTAGTATTAAAAAAAATCGAGATACGGCAACACTAAAATTTTTCGAATGCATAATTTAACGATCATACCGACGATATTGCATAAAATTGCCAATAGATCTACACGCATTACTGATGATATGAAGTCTTTGCGTTGATTTAATGCAAACAAATTTAATAATCATAAACTCAATGTGACTATCTTGTTCCCAGGGAGAAATGGCAAGTCGGATAAACATTCTAAATGAGATCTAATTTGACGTTTATGTAGACGTCCAGATTTTTGAATTTTGACGATATCTAGATGTTAATATCGACGTTAATATACACATATATACGTACATTATATATTTAAACTTAAAATTGAATTTGACAAACTTCCTATATAATAGCTACTCTAGTGCAATAAAATAAAGCGAAAAAGAAACACCAATAATATAATAAGGCTTCAAAAATTACATATAAAAGGGAAATCCTAAACAATTTTACATTTTAATCTTGTTTACGCCAAGCAGCATTTCGTAGCCAATTTCTGATTGCATTTAAAGCTTCTGATAAATCGCTGTTCGGAAATTTTAGTAGCATCACTCCTAGATTAAAAGTATAATAAAGAGAAATAAATATTCTGCGAATCTCTGAGTTACCTAATATTGTATAATAAATTAAAAACTTTGAGAGACGGAATACTTGAAAGAAGATAGAATACCTTGAAATAATTCCCAAAGTTTCAACTGTTTAAATGACCTTTTAATTTTCATAGCTTTCTGAGGATTATGACCCTCAAAATTAAAATGTACAGCTAAGGAATTGGTCATCAGTTGAGTCATAAGTTTTGACGTTGCAGTTTTCTCATTATTTCCCAAAGGCAAACTCTTCAAATAGTAGCACTACAAGAAAGGGACCAAACAAAAAAAAATCAGTATTTATGAAACATATTACAGAGATATAGATGGCGTTCCAATATTCACTGCCAGTACTGAAAATCTATGGTGTACGTGACGTAAACTATAAATTCAGTACTGGCAGTGAATATCCAGAATGCAGCCATAAAATAATAAAAATATATCAAGTTGTATAAGCATAATAAAATATTACTTACTGCTGCTGAAAGATTTACATCTTTGGATAAAAATTTCTCAAATTCTTCAAGGCTTTTTATGTCACTCAGAGGCAGAGAGGGTAGATTTGAGGGTCTATTGATGACAGACTTTTCCGGAAGCAGACTTCTATTTAAGTTCTCTTGGTTCATAATAATAACGTCAAGCTTACTACTGATGTCTTCTAATTTTTCTTCTAATCTTATAAAACGTTCGTGAAAATCTGAAAATATGTGAACATAAAATGACATAGATTATTATAACTTGTGCGTGTGCGTGTGTGCATGTGTCTGTGTGTGTATGCGCGCGCGCGCGCGCGGGTTCGTGTGTACATGCAAAAAGAATACCTAACATACCTGCACTAAAAAAATTTGACGAATTACAAATAGGTGGATCTAACTTTTCTTTGGAAGAAAGTGGGCTACGCTCGTGCCTCGGAATGTGCTTTGTCTTACTCCCACTAACTTCTCCCTTGTTAATGGTGGACGGTGTCCTAACTCTTATTAAAGGAACTCTAGGTTCATCCAGATGTCTTGCAACTTTCGATTCTTTGATGATTGAGGAATCTTCAATAACGTATCTTTTGCACTTATGACTAGAAGTCTTATCAACTGAGGTAGAAGCTTCAGGAACATGGATTGCTGGTGGTGAAGGAATGCTTGGCTTTTTTTTCTTAAATTGATTTTCTAAATGCTGGTCATTATCAGACTCATCTGAAGATGTGATTGGTTTCATTTTTTTCTTTCTTTTTCCTCTTCCCATTTCTTTTTCAGTATCAGTCTCATAGGCTGAGGCATATTCTATTATTCCTGTCAATCCTTTTCGTGCATGAAAATATGTATCTGTAGCAGAGAAATATTATTACTAAGATTTAAGTAAAAAGAATACAAAGAAAAATTGCTTACCATAATATCTTTTAACTTCCACTGTATGAATGGACCAATTTGATTGCGCATTTACTTGAGTTCGCACTAACGTCCCTGCTGTAGAATCATCTCCTGGCCAGAGTATGCTGCCGATCATATTTTCATCTAAATCTTGAAGCCACTTTGAGGGAGCTACCTCGTAATATTCATCTTCATCATTATCGGTAGATAAGAACTTCACAACCATAAACTGCAAAATAAAAAGATAAACAATATAAGTTAATAACCATGTTTTTTCATATCACAAATTGTACTTTTTGGGCAATGACAATGTTTTTAATTGTAAAATTTTTACGTTCCAAATGTTAAACATACCCTAGCTAAAAAAATGTTAAATATTATTAAAACAATGGCATTGTGTGAAGAAGAGGAACACGTAAAAAAGAACTATCATTGGAAGGCATCAACCAACACTTAGCATAAACTTGTTCTGCCATGGCACGACAAGTCTTTCGTCATCTATTTCTGAAACTTGCCTTTATACTTTATACCAGTCCGGAAAATTACACTATCAATAGAAAGACACTGAAAATATGTTTCTGGTAATTGTTCTTCTGCATCTTCATGTCTGTAAGAAAGGTGAACAGTCTTTTCTTTAGTTTTCAATTCAATTTTTACTGTTCTGGTTCGCTCCAAATCTCGTCGTGCAGCTTGTTGCAGTGGTTTATATTCAGATTTTAGGCTACTTTTGATTGATTTTAAACGATTTTCAAATATAAAAGAGCTGAAATTTTCCAGAAGTCCGTGTTCTGCACATTCTTGAGCCAAATGACAGAGTGAGTGAACATTATACACCACAAAACGTCTCCCATATAAATTGATACAATGCTGAATAAAAGTTCTGAGTAATTCCTTAGCAAAGTCATTAAGTACATTGACATGCAAAGGGCTAGAGAGGATATATAGAGTAGCCTGAAGTAAGAGATAGTTTTTGTAAATGTTTTCCTGCAATTTATCACGAAATACTAGGAGTCCATCATAAAGACATAATCTCCTCTCTTCTATATCTCTGTACATCTTCCAGTCGTTAATTGATCTCGGTGGTCTGCAAAAATCACTTGGACAGAAATCCTTTAAAAAAAATTAAATTGTTAGAAATATTTTTCCTGGAGAACTTGTTAAGTTTCCATGGTCCATTCCATTGCATCCATGTCATCAATAATCGTTTAAAGACTCCATGCCAGACTAGATGAAATGGATCTAATCTAAAGTGGGAAACCATTCCTGTATGTACTCTCTCTAGAATAGAACGGCCTATATGATGAAGTGGATCTTCCTGAGTGATGAACGAGTGATCAGTTCGCAATGGAGCATTCAGATTTGTGTAGACTACACGATCAGCAACATATTCACCAACACAGGTGCACTTTTCACAAGCTCCGTAACCTCCATGACTAACACAACATTTCACCAAAGAGCGAGCTGCCCCAGTGAGAAATAAAAAGTCGAAATGATATTGAAATATGGTCATCGAAATTCCACATCGTTTCGAGATTCAGACGAGCTTGGTTTAGAGAAATTTTCGACATCGAAATCAGCTCAATTTAAAATAATTTTCGACATCGAAATCAGCTCGATTTCAAGTAATTTTCGACATCAAAAACAGCTAAATTTCGAATAATTTTTTATATCAAAAGTAGTGCGAATTCAATATACTACAGTGCAGCCGTAGGTGCTGTAGATGGACCTCTCAATTGCTAATGTGGGGACTGTGAAACTTGGAAGAATTTACAGCATTTCCAGAAATCCATTTATTTTTTTATTCTTATTTGTAAGAAATGACGTTGCATCAATATCGAAATAATTAAATTTACTTCAATTCAACGTTAATTTGATGTCAAATCGACTAATAATTTCTTACTGGAAAGCAATTTTGTAGGTTCAGTCGTCTCTCCTTTACTTTCCAATTTTCGTATTAATTATAACTGCAGACGACGAAATAACGATATCAAACGATACTAAAAAATAATTGAATCGTACAATATAGTAGTGTACGACAATCTAACGAAATTCACAATAATAAGATAGACAAAAACAAAATAACTCTCTATATATTATTCGCTATTGTCTTTGAGAGATTTTAAAATTATGATATTTAATTTTAATATTTCAAAATTTCCGGCAAATAGCTTCTTGATTATTGAGCAGCGTTGACTACACTAACATGATCACAGTGAGAAATAATGATTGAAAAGACATCAAATCGATGTCAAAGACATCTTTCTACTAAGGTTTAATAGAGATATAGAGAAATAAAGAGATATAAACCAAAATAATTTTAATTAAGCTTCAGTAGAGAAATTTACTAAATGGCAAGAATCAACCATCAATGTCAATTCAAGCATGGAATATCGATTCGAGGTTAAAATTGATTTTTTATTTTTTACTAGGGTGTGAGGCATTAATATTGCTTTATCTTTACCAATATATAGCTAACCACGATTCACAAGAAATATTTATTGTTTATTTAGAATTAATTAAACTAAAAGGATAGGTAACTATAATTATAGAAAATATTAGTCATTCTTGTGTTTTCTATATTTTCCTTCAAAAGCAAACGAAAAATAACTTTATACTGATGAAAAAAATATATAAGACGTAGAAATAAACAAGGAAATATAAAATAAAACCTTTTACAAGGTGTATACATATATTCTCTTGTAAATAAAACACTTTTTCAAAATTTTATAGGTAATAATTATCTTTCTTTGACATATGAAAAGTACAAGAGAAAAGGTAAGGAAGATTATTCCATCTCAATAGTATTAGTACTCCTCTTATGTGGAGTTATATTATTCGCTATTAACTCACATAATCTTGCATGAATAGTTGAATTAAGTAAAATTAAAATTAAACAAGAAAAGAATAACTAAAATTATTCATAATTTAGCTGCCTTTCTAAAATAAAACAAACTTTTAAAATTTTGCACATAATAATTATCTTTCCTTATAAAAAATATAAAACAAATTTAGAAAAGAGCTAAGAAAGATTGTTGCATCTTAAGTTTCTGTGAAGAGACATATGAAGTACCCCCCAGTCAACATAGAAAATCAGTTACATGACATGTATGTTATAATTTAGCACTCAATCATGTTAATATAACACATGTTGAGTGGATGGAAAATTATAACAAAAATGTCATGTAACTAATGCTTGGTGTATTGAGATATTATTTCACATGTGATGTCATGTCATTCACATACATGTCATGTAATTGATTTTCTATGTTGACTGGGGGGGTACTTCATATGTCTCTTCACAGAAACTTAAGATGCAACAATCTTTCTTAGCTCTTTTCTAGATTTGTTTTATATTTTTTATAAGGAAAGATAATTATTACGTGCAAAATTTTAAAAGTTTGTTTTATTTTAGAGAGGCAGCTAAATTATGAATAATTTTAGTTATTCTTTTCTTGTTTAATTTTAATTTTATTAATAGCTGAAGTACAAATAAAATTTGACAAAAAAGTACAAGTAAAAGTTTGTTTTATTTTAGAGAGGCAGCTAAATTATGAATAATTTTAGTTATTCTTTTCTTGTTTAATTTTAATTTTATTAATAGCTGAAGTACAAATAAAATTTGACAAAAAAGAACAAGTAAAATTGTTCAAACATCTGCTGCTTCTCTTAAATAAAATAAACTTCCAAAACAAAACATGATTTGCTTTGTCTAACATAAAAAAAGAACAATTTACATGAAAGCTAAGAAATATTGTAGAATCTTTACAACTTTTTTGTGTATAACACATATAATCTCATATGACTAGCTAAAATCTTTGAAAAATAGCCTTATTATATTAACTTCTTTTTCTCCCTTAAGACATGTTCAGTCTTTTTTCCAAAAGAACCATCCTTCTGTTTTCTCCATGAACTGTTGATTAGCCACTTTGCAGCACTTTTCTCTGCCACATAATTATCACAGATATCGAATTTGGTTATCATGCGCTTTATGGAACCCAGGGAATATGACATTATTTGATAGCTGTCATTGTACATATACAATATTAGCACATATTTAATTCCTTTAGGATAATAATGAATGCTAGACAGGAATTTTATGGGACTTAATTTAAAACGCTGTCTGTCTAACGATATGCATATTCTTATATACGAGTACAAAAAAATGTACTTTATTACGATAGCAAGTAACGAAGGGTATAAGATAATATTTTTATTACTCACTGGTCTATCTTCGTTGTCCATTGCGATATGAACCCAAGCTAAAGCCAAGTGATAATTAAAATATAATTAACGCACAATGCTTGCTAACTGTCACAAACCGCTGCGTCCACTGCATGCCGCCAAACGCATGGAGAATAGGTTAGGAATGGGCGTCGGGCGATCCCGGCAATCGATATACCGTGTCGATATGTATCGATCATCAACCGCAGTATATCGATATACCCTGATAGGAAAAGATTATAAAGATTATGACCCGATTTCACAGTTTTCGATTAATGTGATCCTACGATTAAACTCACTTTGCATCTTGTTCTAACTGTCCCCCTAGAAAGAGGCGACTAGTGAGTTTAATCGGAGGATCACGTTAATCAGAAACTGTGAAATCGGCCTTATATGATGAAATCTGGATGACATTGGGAATGTTGCAATTATGTATTATATAATATTTGCAATAATACTATAGTAGAAAAATTTAGACCCTTATTAATATTTTAATATTTATCAATATTTGCACAATTTATTTCTAAATTCCAGCGAGACAGCAACGTTATAATAAGGAATGCATGATCTTAGCGTAATAGCAAAACTAAAAAACAAAACTCGAAATCATTATTCCAGTAAGTAAAAAATGACTTGTCGAATCGATGTCAAATCGATGTCGAATCGATGAGTATTTTCAACATCGAATTAAAAGTATCATATTGATATCATTTCGATCTCGAATTGAGATTTTACATATGGATGTGCACAGAGTTACAACAGTAAAATTGAACAAAACGGTAACAGGAGTGGCTGTCTATCATTCATATATCAGTTTATTTAAACAAACGCCAACATAATCGAACTAATTTCGACGTCGTTTCGACATCGTTTCGATATTATAGCTTTCTCACTGATTAGATATGTTTTTATATAAAAAGTGTATTACCGGGTAGTCTTTTTCAGTACATATACAAAATAATTTAACTAATCATGCCAAGAAAATTAAAACGGCGAATATTATTGTTGATTGTATGTGAATATTCGCCGTTTTGCAATGTTGCAACGTTTCTGCAAGCATCTGTGCTGTATATGGGAATTCTTACTCAGTAAGAAATGACTCGTCAAATCAACGTCGAATCGATGAGTCATTTCAACATCGGATTAAAAGTATCATTTTGATATCATTTTAACCTCGAATCGAGATTTTGCATATAAACGGATGTGCACATACAGAGTTACAACAGTAAAATTGAACAAAACAGTAATAGGAGCGGCTATCATTCATGTCAGTTTATTTAAGATTACTCGAAAATATGTCGAAATTTAAACGAACGTTGACTTTTTTTTATCCTTGCCAGCGTTATCGAGCTAATTTCGACTTTTTTTCTTGTTTTTGGTTCCCCTTTCATCTCCCGAGCGGATGACCTCGACTTACGGGACACCCTGTATATATATATATATATATATATATATATATATATATATATATATGCTGCTTATGTTGCATTTACAATAATATAAAAATCTCGATAGAACGAAAATCATAAATAAATAATGGCAAAAGCAAGAAGTATAAAAATAGCGGAATTATTGATGATCGATATAATAACATTTAACCTGCATAATGAGGTTATAAAGTAAAGCATATGAGAGCACACGTTTCCAATTAAATAAACCTGAACAAATATTTATGAACAAATTATGAACTATATGAAAATTATATTTCATAAGTTATTTATGAAGTAATCATAATTATCTATAGATTTTTCAAGAACACAAAACTCAAGTAGAAAGCTATTATCTGATGTCATTTTGACATTATAATAACCAATAATGACCAAATATTGATATTATGATGACATCAAACGACAATATAGGTTGCTATTGAGTAAATAAGTAAACAATAAACTTACAAAAGGTAATCTGAATCGACCAAATATACATATATGTAGATTTCGAAAACGAGAATTCTTGAAGTTAAAAACAGATAAATGAGAAATAACACTATGAAAAACTTACCGGTGGACTTTCACTCATTTTCGATAATTGATTGCTGACTTTATTAAATAGCACGACTCAGCACTCAGCACTCTCAGCAGTGATGCCAGACACGAAACACGGCTGCAGTATACTGTGATGGCCTTGACAGACAAGCACGATCACGTTAGAGGTTAGAGTTCCTACAATAAGAGTTAGGACACCGTTATAGCTTTGTCTCACTCCCACTAACTTGGCTGAAACATATGGCGGGACCAATCAAAAATCGTCACCACATTGGCTTAATTCTTATTATAGGAACTCTAGGGCTGTGTTCGGAAACGTCAACCGGGTACACAAGGGTATACTCTCTTTTCCTTCTAACTTGCTGAGATAGAAAGAGAAGGGAGTATACTCGTGTACAATCGGGTGACGTTTCCGAACGCAGCCTAGATCACGTCAATCGCGCGCGACACACGATATCCAATGAACATACAGCTTTGCACTCATCGCGGCACGCTCATTGGATATCGTGCGTCGCGGGCGATGTAATCGCATTGGTCGATCGAGGCCATGACGCGGTCCCGTGAAATAGAGATGGAGGGAGTACTCACACAAAAGAGGAGCCACGTCCGTGAGCGCTCAGCGCGTGCGTATCCTCACCATCTCCGTTTCGATGGGATAGCGTCTCATTTTTAATTTAACATCACTGCGACTCAGAACGAC